AAAGGCACTTCACGCCCAGACATAGGTTTTTTCGCCTCCTTCAGTATAGATTAAACACTTACTTTTGTAAATCCACTGTACAAGATAAACATAAATTAATCCATCAATGTATTATCGGTTAATCCTTTGATCGATAATTTTCATCAATTTAACCGACCGTTCCTCTCTTACTGCGCTGCCACGTGCATGTTACATAACATGTAACGCATTCACCACATCATACCTGGATTTTTAACCAAATCCTCGACTTAACAATAACCCCAGACACAAGAAATGCCAAATGCGAACCACTGACTGCTATATATCCTTGACACCCACAGAGGCAAGGGTGAACCTTATTGAGTTGAGTTATTTTACATAGTCTTTGTCTTGATTGTCTCAAGCATCAAGTGAAGACCGACACATATACAGGTGTAGGGTTATACAACGAAACATGGATGACAAGAAGGGAATAGTAATTGTTGTATTATATGCAATTTGCCTTAAAATAAGGGTCTTTGCTGTTTTGGGTATAAAAATTAACTTCATTGTTGCAAAAATAATACGAACACGTATTTGCTGTATAGTATTTTCTCTGTGTTACAAAACATTGGCTGGGAAAGATTTAAAAGCTATGAATGTATTGTTATCAAATATTAGAAACTGTAATTTTACACCCAAGACACTACTCGAATTATTTGATTCTTTCGTTACATCTACAATTTGCTATGGCTGTGTGGTATGGGGTACCGTAAACGCACCTGATATTGAACGGGTGCATCTTAAATTCTGTAAGAAAGTATTAAATGTACATTCAAAGGCATGTAATATTGCAGTATATGGAGAATTAGGTCGGTATCCTATTTGCATCAATAGATTCTGTAGAATTTTTAAGTACTGGTTTAAATTAAATAATACTTGTAATTGTATCTTACAGGTTGCATATAATATTTGTTTGCAGCATTGTGATAAAGGTGTGAAAAATTGGGTATGGTATGTAAAAGATATGTTGTGTACAAATGATTTTACATTATGTGTGGTTCAATCCTTTGTCTGTAAATCCTATGTTGTTTAAACAAAGACTTGTTGATAATTATATACAAAAATGGAACTCAGACCTCAATAATAGTAAAAAGTTGGAAATGCCATCCGAATTAAAACTAGAAGGCATACAACAAACAAGTTGTAAAACACAACTGTTATACATTTCTAAATATATCAAATCCTGTTTACAGTAAATAAGAAATCGTGTCCTACTTCCATTGTCAATATATATTTTTGTTGTATCTGTTGGACGAGGGGCAGAAGCCCAAGTCTTTTTCATGAATAAATATCTGTTCTGTTACAAAAAATATACTACGTAATTGTACATACACATTTACACACGCTGACGGATTTTCAAGGTGAAAGGTCGGGGTAAGCATCTTCCGATCAATTCAAGGGAATTAAAAAAGGGGAGTTGGAATGTTGGTTCCCCTTAATACAGGCAGTTCGCGTTCTGGTTGACTCACCTACATAACATTGATCATTACGGAGATAGCAGGTATTAGGCCACCCGTAGCCCCGCCAATAAGAGATGTCACATCACATTTTGTACATAACTACACAAGCATATTATTGTTATCTCCGAATGTGGAGGATGAATAAAGAGCATAGTCATGAATCGGCTAATTCAAATCTCTGTTTCAGCCTTGGTGACGACGTACAAAGAGACAAAATGCAGCCCCGGTAAGCCTTGATTCTGAGTTTTGTTTTTTAACTATGAAATATTTCACCAATCTGACGGCTGTCTGTAAACAATCGAGTCTGGAATCCAGATAATCCAGTGATTGACACCATGAGCATCGATCCACGCAATTGGGATACGATGACATGCATCAATGAGGTCAGCGAGCCTGACCACCCGATCCCGTCCGGTGAATGCAGGAAAATGCGAAAGAAATTCCATAAAGCTAAAATAAATATAAGTCACGTAACAAAATATCAAATATCATCAAATGTCAAGAGCTTATAAGAAATGTATCGACAAAAGTATAAGACACTATCAAAATGAAACTTGACCTTAATAAATATTCACCAAAAGAATACTGGAAGCTACTTACTAAATGTGATATGACTGAATTCGAAAATACTCTTGACATTGAAACGTTCTTTGAATGTAATGATGCTATACCCGATGATGTTGCCGAAGATCAACAATACAACACTGATGTTTTATAGAAGGTAATATCGGGCGGAGAAGTCCTTTCAACCACTAAGAACCTTTAAAGAAACAAAGCTACTTGGTTGCATCCTGTTGTAAACGATTATTTTATTTAATCTACCATACAATTAATACCACTCCTGATTTCTTTAACTTGTTACTTAATCCTGGATTTGTACCAGATTTCTGGCTGAAGGGTACAATCAAACCGATATAAGAAAAAGGGTAGACACCTAGATCCGAACACATAAAGACCAATAACAATTCTCAGCTGTTTCGGAAAACTCTTTACAAGTATCCTTAATGCGAGGCTCGCTGTGTTTGTAGAAATAAATAAAATTTCAACTCCAGAAGCAGGATTCAGAAAAGGTTTCTCCACAAGTGACAACGTATTTGTTCTATATGCAATTGGGGAAATTTTAAGACAAGCAAAACGAAAACGCTACTGCGTCTGATTTTACAAAAGCGTTCGACACTTAGCGGAGGGCTGGTCTATGGTATAAATTGTTAAATTATGGCATATATGGTAAATTTCTTAACTTAGTAAAGAACATGTACCATAACATAAAATCCACTATTATGCTACATAACCAATATCCCCATTCTTCCCATGCAACGTTGGAGGCGAAAATCTCTCGCCACTTTTGTTTTCACTTTTTGTTAATGATATTGAGCCCTTCCTACTGAAACAGAGGAAGTAAAGGTGTTAATTTAGATTACTGAATATATAGTCTTTCTAGGACGTTTTGTCAAAGTATACTTGGGAAAGGTTATTTCAATGCCGATTCATTGATTTAATAACGAATTTGTGTAATCGCTCTCCTGTGGATGAACTTATATATAACACTTCAACTTCATAGTCTTATGAACAGCAATATATAAAGATTATAAATATACTGATTTATTTCAATCTCCTCTCATACTTAAATAGTTTGTTCTAAAAATATTTGTTCTAATTCTTTTTCAGGAGCCACAGCCATCGGCACAATCATTGCAGTTATGGGTAAGATAATGCTACAAGCTATTTTGAATGTCAACTACTTTCATCGAAGCACGCAATATTGACAAATACTATTGTATCAAGAACGCACATTTCTAGGGATACTAGGTCATTTTCAACCGATTTTAAATTATGTGTGCCTCTGTGTATCACAGGCTTTTTTTGTTGATACATAATTGGATAAAAGCACCGGGCTACACCGGGCTCTGCATCTACCCACACATTTCAATGTCCCACCTACGCATTAACTCACAGTAACGATTTGGCAACCAAGTGTCTGTATCTTCCCTGATTTGTTGGTTTGTTTGTTGTTTAACGCTGCAAAATAATGGAAGAAAAACATATAAACGTTATAATCAGACAGACAAACAGACAAGTTTATTTATGTCTCATTTATTTTGATAATTCATAGTAAATAAATAAATGCAGAACTACATTTTTAAAATTGTGAGAATCTGAAACACATGGTTAATGGTCGCTTTGCCACCGATTATATGTCTCACTTTTAATAAAGGATTTCTAAGCACAATGCAACAGTACATGTGTCTTGTTGTCAATCTGAACAGTTAAAGGGGTCCTGTGTTCCACATCCTGGTGTATATATCCAGTCTAGGTTCAGACATCATGACTAGCGCCTTGAGTGATGTTGAGTTGAGAGTGAATCAGCAACCGCTTTATTGATATAAACTTGAGGTAGCAGACATATTCTGTGTTTGAGGGTCTTGAATCAAACTTGCATGGACAGCCAATTTGATAGACTGTAGCAGCAGAAATGACCGATAGTGTTCAGAGTGTCACTTCCAAAAAGGACGTAGCACACTGAAACGGTATGGAAACTGTGTGTGTGTGTGACACACTGTTGGAGGACCAATCATTTGATATTTTCAAGAAATTTCGTGGACAATTTATTTCTTTCGTTAAAATCCTTCAAGTACTTCAGCCCTATAATAATGCTACAGTTACGTCTTTTGTGTGTTATTTATGTTATACTACTACATGTGTTACTACTTTTAGTTACGGCGTGCGGGAAGCCTTGTCGGTGTACAGTGAATGCAAAGATGGTTTTCATCGTGGTGTCTTTGAATCAGAAAAGGACGTCTCCTCCATAACATGCCTCGCTTTGTCATACGCATTTTCAATAGCCTTAATGTAGGTGTTGAACATAGTAAAGAATGTTTGAGTGTTTGATGGCGTTAAATGGGTTTCTGAAATGGATATCAATGGGAAAGTGGGGTAGGTGTTGAACCTAGTCAATTTAAACAACGTTGTGTCAGTGTTTTAATCCTTGTATATGATATAATACATATATGGCGAGTCAGAATGACGAGGAAGAACTGCGTCTTCTCTGAAAACGTCTTCTTTGAGAGAAAATGCCGTCCAGACACCAGAGAAAGGCTCAGCGTGCTATCGGGTCTGTGGGGGCACAGGTGACCCCGTCGTCTACGGCGCCGTAATTTGCTTTGCAAGAGTTGCGTCCCTTGGACACGCCAGAAACCTATGATCGTTTGTTCGAATCCCGGTTCGCCCCGATTATGGTTCTAGTTTTGTCAGTACCATACTTGTGCTGCGTCACTCGGACTGTCAAAACACTCTCAAAACATCCTCTGTCTCAACCTAACTCCATCCAAGCAGATAAAGCCTTCGTTGTTCACCCGGATGTACCCCGTCTTCCCCAACAGAGGGTCACAACTCTTAATTTATCTTGTGTCTCAACCTGAGTCCATCCCAGCGTACATGTATGACACCTTCGTTACTCACCCGGATTTACCACTGTCAAATAATTCATTTGAGAAAAACTAAGAATAGAGAACACAAGTGCACTTTATTATACATTTTTATTCATAGATGAAAAATGTGTACAAAATCAAAATCAAAGACGATTTGATAAAAATATAAATAACGTCATAAAAACAGCTACAATCTAAAAACAAATGTGCCGAAAAAACGCCCTTAAAAGTGGCATTAATGTACAAATGTGCATAAGAAAACATTTTTTGCAATCTGACCATAACAATGTGTAATTCTATCACTTCTATACCGACACTTAACAAGATACACTACAAAGTGTAAGATTGATTAGTCTTCACATCTATGTAATCATGATCACTTCAAGAGATAGTAGCTGCAGAGCGAGAGCTATCACTTCCTGTTGTGAAAACATGTGACCAAGGACTATACTAGTCATAATGCTAACATGTAGCTGGAATTGAACTATGTATATAAGTGAAAGAGTGAGTAATGTATAAAAAGCATTCTTCCAAATCGTTTCCATAATATTTTCGGAAAGGATATGAAGGGATAAGGTGGGCGATGTGTTAAAGAAAGTAGTCTTTTCAAACAGGAGAAACACATTTCGTTTAGGTATTATGAAGAAAAAATGATGGCTGGACATAATTGTCCTTTAAAATGAGTTGTGATCAAAACTATTATTTGTATTGCTTGTAGAACAGATCAGTTAAAATGGCCACCGAGTCATACCAAATGATTTGGAAACCTAACGTATCCTAATGCCTCTGTTCCTTTCTACACATGTCACCAGTACAACATATTGCTGGATTGCATCTCGCAAACAAATACTTCCTTTCTACACTTTCAGCCATGACATTGTACTGTAATGTATTTTAGCTACACAAAGCCTACATACGAGCCGTTCAAGACAGGAGGGGTCGATGGCAACCCTTTGCAGGACGGTTATGTGTCTGTAATCTGGAAATTACTGTCATAGTGTTTGCATACCCTGTCATACCCACACAAATAAAATATCCCAAATAGTACAATTTCTTACGAAACCACGTCTAAATGGAACCAGCTCGAGGTCCTACGGTGTTGCAGCCAACTGACATTTTTCACTTAGTTTCTTATTTAAATAATGTTTTTTCAAACAACAATACCGTGATGGCTGCTCATTACACAAATCAAACATTGCAAACTAATTTATTTTTTTACAATCAAGATGTCCTAATCAGTGCAATTTCTCACGAAAGCGCGTCTGAAACTGAACCGGTTTGAGTTCCTGAGACTTTGCAGGCAACTGACACTTTTGACTTCGTCTGATAAATAATGTGATATATTTTCAAATACCAACACCGTGACTGCTAGTCATTCCACAAAAAATTCCACCTACAGTACATGAGTGTTGTCGACTAATTTCGACAACAGATACACATGCAGCAGCATAGGAGGATGCAGACGCCGATCAGGATGTAGCTTGCCGTGGTGCTCCAGAATGCGAACAAGTAAAATGTGTTGTCACAGTAGTTGGCGGCAGTCTTGTCTGTTGGGTTGTATTTGTTGTAGAGGCCGTAGATCCACACGTTGCCTGAAATTGAATTACTACATCAACCGTTAGAAGACATGGAAACAATCAGAAACAAGCCAGTCATCAACAGCGATATAGGCATCTCCCTGTCCAGTATATGGGCAACTGAACCACCTACAATCAACATTACCCCAGAATTGACACTTCTTCCATTATTACTAGTTTATTGTTACATTATACACACTACACTCATTTATCCTCTTGCTACTCATTCTAGTGGTTAACGTCAAAAGGTGACATGTATTTATATTTAATACCATACAACGGCCAACCTGGGGTCCGTCCCTTGCAGCCATTGTATCGCTAAGGTTATCGTAACTCCCATACTATAAAACACACTTACGACTGCACCACTGTGACAAAGTTTACAAACAGCTCACAATACCCAATGACGTAATTTGTGAAATAACGTTTTGCAAGATACACCAGGGAAACAATACAATGTGACGTCAGCCTAGCAACAGGGTTGCTGGGGTCATCGAGTGTACATATGCTCATCTCAACGCAATTGGGATACGATTACATCAACCAATTCGGCGAGCCAGACCACCCGATCCCGTTAACGTTAGTCGCCTCTTACCACAAGCACGAACAGGCTGTTTAAGAACAATTCTAATCTGGGTCTTCACGGGTCTATCAATATTTTTATGAACACAGCCACAATATATTTAATTGTTTCATTGATGTGGAAAACGTTCTCGTCATTTGTAAAATAATGCTTTTATAATAATACCTGCAATAACCCAGGCAAATAGGAAGAGACTTATGACGCCGGAGACGATTTGGCAGGGAAACCACACGTTTCCGTCAGAATCAGCGAGGCATGTCTTCCCTACCAGGCGCACTACAGAGACGATGATGGTGAAGATACCTGCCACGATCATGTAGGTAGGGATGTACTTTTCAGCAGGGCAGTTATCCTTGTGAATGGCTCCTGGAAATAAGCAACATGCATACTTGTAGATCACCATTGGCACTAGCAGGATGTTATACATTGCTATAGATCAGCGCTTGGACGAATTAACTGTGATGTGGCTTTATATGAGAAGCATCTTGCAGATACATGTATTTATATTATGTACTTGTTGAACAGAGAAACTGTTTTAAAGGGGGACTAGCTACAGTCTAACGAATTGGCAGCCCAGGCAAGTGTGGTTAAAAAATCTAAAAATACAAAATATGTCTGCTGCCTCAAATTCATATTAATATAGCGGTTAATGACTCATTCCCAATTTAAAATGACAGTTTCACTCAACGCGCTGGTTATGATGTCTATACCCCGACAGGAAATATACACAGGGTGTGGAACACAGTGTCCCTTTAACTGTTCAGATGAGATTGACAACAAGACTGGTACGCTGTTGCATTGTGCTTAGTGATCTTTTTTTATTAAATTATTATAATAAGTGGCCTGAATTTCTCATAATTTTTAAAATGTAGTTCTGCACATTTGCATTCTTGCAACTTTCGAATATAAAAGAGTAAAAGAAAATTATCAGGTAAAATATTCTCAAGCGCCCTTAACCCCTTAGGGTAGCCTACACAAATACATTAGTTTAGTTGTTACAACTGGTCTTCAGCAACCCAAGGGGCGGTGGGGTAGCCTAGTGGTTAAAGCCGAAGACCCGGGTTCGAATCCCGACTTGGGTACAATGTGTGAAGCCCATTTGTGGTGTCCCCCGCCGTGATATTACGGGAATATTGCTAAAAGCGGCGTTAAACTAAACTCACTCACTCACTTCAGCAACCCATGCTTCTGGTAACAGGAGACCAACGGGATTGGGTGGTCAGGCTCGCTGACTTGGTTGATGCATGTCATCATGTCCCAATTGCGAAGATCAATGCTTATGATATCAACCACTTGGTTATTTACAGACCGCTTTAATATAGCTGGAATATTGCAGATTGCAGCGTTAAACAAACAAACCAACAAATCAGGGAAGATACAGACACTTGGTTGCAAAATCGTTACTGTGAGTTGATGTGTCGGTGGGACAGAAAATGTGTAAGTAGATGCAGAGCCCGGTTTAGCCCGGTGCCTTTATCCAATTATATATCAACAAAGATATAGCATGTGATACACAGAGGCACAAATAATATAAAATCAGTTGAAAATGACCTGGTATCCCTAGAAATGTCCGTTCTTGATACAATAGTATTTGTCAATATTGGATGCATGCTTCGGTGAAAATGGTTGTCATGCGAGGTAGCTCGTAATATTATCTTACCCATAGCTACCATGGCAATTGGAAGGGCAAGGCTTATGATGGTGATGACGGCTGTACCCACTGAAAAACAATTAGAACAGATATTATATAAACTATGAAAGTATGAAGGAGATTAAAATAATTCAATATATGTATTATCTTAATATTGCTGTTCATAAAACCATGAAATATTTCATTATTACCACTGCACAGCGAATCGCGGCGCCTCAGACGACTGGGCCACCCGTGCAATTACAACAAAAATGTTATTAAACCAATGAATGGGCATTCAAGTAACCTTTCCCAAGTATACTTTGTCAAAACGTACTAGAAAGTGTAAATAGTCAGTCAAAGTTCGTTATCCATATGGCCACACAGCTAAGAATCAAATTAGAATAGGTCTTCGGCAGTCCATGATTGTCGTGAGAGGCGATTAACGTAATCTCGTGGTCGAGCACGCTGACCTGACTGATGCATTTCATCGAATCCCAGTTGCGTAGATCGATGCTCATGGTGTCAATCACTGGATTATCTGGAATTCAGACTCGATTGTTTATAGACCGCCGTCTTATAGGTGAAATATTACTGAGACAATGTACACAAACTTAGAATCAACGCTTACCGGGGCCGCATTTTGTCTCGTTGTACTTCTTCAGAAAGGCTGAAACAGAAATTTGAGTTAGCCGATTCATGACTAGTGCTCTTTATTCATCCTCCACATCCAGAGATTATCACCAGATGCCATTTAGCGTCAGCGACTCAACACACTGGGCTCGTTGACAGCGATGGGGAATCGCCTTGAATCTTCGCACTGATTGGGTGATGCTTAACATATAACCTTTCACTTTGCTAAAATCCGTCAGCGTGTGTAAATGGGTATGTACAATTATATCGTAATATTTTTGCAACTTTGAAGTTAATATCATATAATAAGTTGTAGAACTATTCAGATTACCCGACAAAGACGATGCAAAAAAATATTGTTTACCCCTGCCTCTGAAGGTGTCGAGGTGAGAGAAGTTTTTCGCTGCTTTTGCAATATTCCAGCAATATCACGGCGAGGGACACCAGAAATGGGCTTCACACATTGTACCCATGTGGAGAATCGAACCCGGGTCTTCGACGTGACGAGCGAACCCTTTAACCACTATGCTACCCCACCGCCCCCGCGTTCATTGTGCCACGGGCGGGTGCATAGGTGCTCATGATTTCAATCACTGGTTTGTCTGGTCAAATCTCGACTATTTGCAGGCAGCCTAACTTCAGCTTGAATATTGTGCCTAAGCATTAAACAACCTTCACTCACTCACTGAGGATATAACATGTTACATATAGACATCTCGCATACAGACACCACAAGAACATATAAACATGTGGTATATTAATCCCATATTTGCTAAACTGGTATATACATATTTAAGAATATTTAAATTCTTCATATATATTCCTTATATAGCGGTATTTTTGTTCATGATTACATGACAAAGAATCTAATTCTACACTGTATTACAATGTAAACTAAACACGCGGGTGATGTAAATAATAATATTGCACTCACAGGACATAGTTCACTGTATGTGTGATCAACGTCTGTCCTTGAATCTGAAATAGATTAAGTAGCATGTACATGTAGTATCAGGTATTACCAGGTTAATAATACATGCCTAAGTACTCTGACTATGTCTGTATGACAACTAATATCATGAAATCACATGTAAGTCGTCTCTTCTTGTACGCGAGGGGGTCAATAAATAATGTCATTCTTTTCTATTGCATATCAAAGCAGTTTAAGAATGGCATACTGAGTTCGTGACGAGCTGACTCGAAACCGGTACAGATTCACCTTTGACCCACACAATTGTACAATAGACTTGAAGACTGGAGCCTGAATGACAACATTTGTACAAATCGTCAATGAGAATATCAGTCTCGACTGACACCCAAACCTGTCTCATCTTGGACGGCTCGGATGCCTAAATATAGAATCTAGGGAATGTCGATGTAGAATTGTAGGTCACGATATTAATAAGAATGTCTCTATGTATTGTACATTGAATATGAATGACAGAAATGAACTATTTGAAATCATTTGTGATGTGATAGATGTCTCTACATTTACAAGACTATGTAGTGAGGACGATGATATAATCCTGTCTATACTACTTGGCGGTATGCCTGAGTGTGTTAGCTCTTTATCTCAAAGTCTATGGGGTGACCTTATGGTTATTGTGTCAAGGTACTGTAGGAAATGGCTGTATCTGTTACAAAACAGTTATAAGAATGCTTGATTGAAATGAATTTTGTAGTTATCATTTCTCATAATATTGTTAAATTGTACTACTGTACAGCTCTGTAATTATACATAATATCATATATGATATGTATCTTCAATATCTGGAGGAAATAAAGAATACCTATCTATCTATCTATCTAACCATACTTGATTTTTGTCTTTAAAGAAGAGTAAGCGTCTTCGTGAACGTCCATCATCATCATCATCATCATTGTTATTGTATTCAGGCCATAGGCCCATATACATACAATGATATTATATAATTTTGTACATGTACAAGTATAAACATGCAGACTTATATGCACAGAGATGTGCACATGTACAATTTTGTGAAAAATAAATCGCATCACAACACAACAAGAAGAGATTAAAGCATTTGATTAATAAAGGCAAATAACCTCAAGAATAATTAAACATCATTTGTACAAAGACGGTTGCGAAGTCGTAAACCATGATTAATGTAAAGGGTAGTATTCTCTTGTTGCTCGTTTGATATTTCATCAAAACGGAGGAGCTTGATTATTGTATTGATGTTTTGGGGTAAACCTTGGAAATATTTTGTTCTGAGCGATTCATAACATGGACAGATAAAAGTGGTATTCGTTTTCAATAACTGTGGGGCAAAAGGGACAAAAACGCATATTTATGTTCAACTGAACGTTGTCGAAGTATGTCGGCAATCTGACAATATCCAACAATTGCACCTGTATTATGTCAACAATGGGCTTGTCTTCAACAGTGCGCGTGAAATCCTTACAGAAGAACGCAATATATACTCTACCGTCTCAGCTTATAAATACAGGTGTGTGAGTTATCCTATTTCCCCCGAGTCTGACTGGCAAATTAAATGTGAATAATACCGAACCCCGGAACTACTTTCTGAAAAGGAACACTTGCCTCCGTTGGGTGTGTAATGTATCTCGCTTTAAATAATACACGGTTATTTCACAATCTCAATTTAATAGTGCACTGTCTAGCTTATGAACATACACGCATGGTTCTTACACAATCTCTATTTGATAGTGAGCTCTCTAGACTATTGAAAATAATACATGGTTATTTCACAATCTATATTTAATAGTGCACTGTCTAGCTTATGAACATACACGCATGGTTCTTGCACAATCTTTATATGATAGTGAACTCTCCAGCCTGTGGAAAATAACACATGGTTATTTCACAATCTATATTTGAGTGTGTATTGTCTCGCGTGTGGAAAATAACACATGGTTATTTCACAATCTATATTTGAGTGTGTATTGTCTCGCGTGTGGAAAATAACACATGGTTATTTCACAATCTATATTTGAGTGTGTATTGTCTCGCGTGTGGAAAATAATACATGGTTATTTCACAATCTATATTTGAGTGTGTATTGTCTCGCGTGTGGAAAATAACACATGGTTATTTCACAATCTATATTTGAGTGTGTATTGTCTCGCGTGTGGAAAATAACACATGGTTATTTCACAATCTATATTTGAGTGTGTATTGTCTCGCGTGTGGAAAATAACACATGGTTATTTCACAATCTATATTTGAGAGTGTATTTTCTCGCGTGTGGCAAATAATACATGGTTATTTCACAATTAATATTTGACACACACACACACACACACACACACACACACACACACACAATCACACAATCACACAATCACACACACACACAATCACACAATCACACACACACACACAATCACACACACACAATCTCACACACAATCACACAATCACACACACACAATCACACACAATCACAATCACATTTTTTTTAAGCAGAATTATACAGTATATAAAACGGAAAGACAGTAAAATGGCCACTAACAGACATCAAATTCGAGATCGAAATGTAAGCAATCACATTGATGAATGCGTGACTGTTCATTTTTCAGTTGTAGAAATTGTTTAACAATGCTAAACATTTACTAAAGGACAAATAATAGATGTTCATAAGGCTTTTGAAACCTAAACTTAATTTAAATGTGTAACCTTCAGTACAGTAAACTACGGTTACAACGAACTCAACGGGACTACTAATTTTAGTTCGTTATAACCGTATTTCGTTATAAGGACATATACAGCATGACTACAGCAAGTAGTCGGGACCAAAAAGTAAGTTCGTTATATCCGTCAGTTCGTTATAAGCGTGTTCGTTATAACCGTAGTTTACTGTACTTCCCTATGTACTTCAATGTATATGAGTGCACTCACACTGTAATGTACATGTATTTACGCCCCCCACTGTTATCACTGACGATGACGACAGCGGCAAAATGACGTCAACAACATAACGTTGGTTTTCTGACCGACTGACTGATATATGAGATTTAACGACTGTAGCGTATTTCGCACACGGGATGGTTTTCGCCTATGACTACGTTTTATATCTCCCTCTATTGTACCCTCAACTAACTGTTCTCCACTACTAACTGTTACGTCATAGGCATTATGACATCACAAATACTCCCGTTGTCTGTCGCTTATGACTGCGATAAAGTTTTCATTACACCTAAGAGCCGTTGAGTGGCGAAATATATTTAGTTCATTAAGGAGATTTGACAAGCACAAATATCTGGACTTTGTATATAGGAGGCTACCTATAACAACTACCATAGTCCAGAAATGATATTGGTTTCTTGACTAACGTTCCATGGACAATTTGATCAATGCTGAACTCGATATTGTAGCGTCAAGCCGAGGTCACACACTGGCTGCGGGTAATCAGCGTATCATGATCAACACTCACTGACTCACTGACCGATTGCTGTCTACTGCATCCAATGTCTACACAGTGTATGCCATGAGACGATGCATGAGGCGGTGAGACGGTGCTTGTTGGAAAAGTACCAAGTATCCTGTAGTTTGTTCATGTATCGCACAAACATTCACGAACAAACACACATACACAGACAGTGGAAAGTCGGGGGTCGATCCCCGGTTGCGTCATGCCCAAAAACGTTATCAGATGGTACTCGTTTTTTTCTGAGATAAAAAAAAGGACAGGTTAGCTCGGGGTGGTATTCGTGTAAAACTGTATCTCAGTGAGCTAGCACTATAAAACCGGCATTATTCCGGACTAGTATAAGCACGCACGCTTGCACGCACACACACACACACACACACACACACACACACACACACACACACACACACACACACACACACACACACACACACACACACACACACACGAACTTTCACGTGCATGCATGTCACCATGTTAGTGCAATAATCTTGGACACGACGTTAAGAAACCAAAGTGACCTAACCACCCACGCACACATACACTGAGACCTCCATGTCGTTCTGTACTCATTGGAACATAGACTGACGCTCAGTGTCTGTAAATACTCAATTTTGATGGAAATAAGGAACCACGTTCAAATTGAAAAGGAGCCGAGTAAGTGCCTGTGAAAAATCTAGACTTGCTTCGTTTAGAGCTATCATAACAGTAAAGGACTGGACGGAAGGGATAATAATCAGGTTTCAGAGTGAGTGAGTGAAAATTATCGTCACATCGGCAGTATTTCAACCATATCGCGACGAAACGGTAATAATAATTACATTTTGATTTAATAAAAAGCTGTCAACGATGGACAGTAAGATAACTAGAATATCACAGGTTCAATTGTAAAACTAGTTGATAACAGTTAAAACAATACATTTATAATCAACAAGACAATATAAAAATGGCCTATAGATCACTAGCAACCAAAGTTAGGCCACCTTACAAGGGACCGAGGGGACTTACATTACTTTTGCTACCTGCACAGCTCCCCAGTAGGATTTACACCAACCCTTCAGCTGCTGGTAATGGTATGCAATTTTAGCCAACCATTAAAAGAAACAAATATACTACGTTTTAAAACCGAGGTAAGAATAAATGTACTTTGAATGATGTGGTCTTACATATCCTCTCCGGGGGACAATAATTTTACGCTACTTCAACCCCCTTTGAGGATATCGCCACTGACAATCTAAGTTACAAATTATACATTACCAATATAAAATATAGCTATGTACACAATTCAAAATTTATCAAAAAGTTCAATTTCTTTTAAAAAACCTATAATTAAATGAGAATTGATTCTATTAAAAAGATCCTTAATTTAAGGTTTCAGAGACTGTGAGACAGACTAATTGTAACACAATCAAGTATCCTGGGATTTGTTCCCTATATGGCTGATGCGGAACAATCGTGACAAAGCATACACTAACCTTCAAACGTTTCTGTAAACTAACACCGATCATAAAGGTTTTTCCTTATGTTAAAAAATACCACGTACCCACTTCTATTAAGGGTGTCTTTGTTCCGCCTTCAACATGTTTGCCTTCGCGCATATTTGTATACTGTTCAGCTCAGTGTGCCTACAGTGCCCAACAGGACCTCGATGACAGCGTTTCTTTATGTACATAGAGGGTGTGGCTTTCCTATATGAATATATTATGCTATACACGCTATCATCGAGTTCCTTAGACTTGCACAAGTCTCTAAGGAAAACATTATTAGTGCAAATTATATAAATACTAAGAACTAGTTGCCCCTATAAGACCTGCCTATTATAAGTGTAGGATCAAAACCGCGCCCGAGGTTTTGTTTGGGAAGTATGCCCGCGGAGGAGGGAAAGGGGGAGGGCCGATAGGCCCGACCCCCTTTCCCGAGGCCAAGGGCATACTTCCCAAACAAAACCGAGGGCAAGCTTTTGATCTCACTTATGAACTGATCAAATAATATGAATTAGAAATAATTTTACTAATTGGTATTAACATGACTTCATTGATATTTACTGTTGAGAGTTTAACTGCAATACGCGGGGAGTACATCCGCGCGCTGCACGTGACGCACGTGCTTCAGGCCCGTTGTAACAATGAGCGCACGTGGTTCAAGCCAGTCGAATGAATTCCACTGAAGAGGATGGACGCAGACAACGATATATTTCTGACGCAGTCAGTTTTTAAAGAATCGGCATCCTGTGCTGAAGAAGACAAGGAAAGTGATGACTTTAAATTCCGTTTAGGAGATCCACTCTCCGAGCGTGAAATAACCTTACAAGTTACCGTCAAAAGACTGTGCAAGACGTCCGGTATTGAGGGCATGAAGATAAACCATTCCTTGAGAGCCACGGCAGCCACTCGATTGTATCAAGGTGACGTTGATGAACAAATGATTTGCGAAATTACCGGTAGGTTGATAAACATTTTAGTCCTGCAGTAATAAGAAATTGTTATTCAGTAAAAGTCATAACATATCAAAGAAATATTTTTTCCAAACCAGTAAGATGCTCTTTTTTTTATGATATATGTGGTAATATTGGGAATCTGTAATAGTTTTTAAGTGTATTTGTATGCTGTATGCGTAATACTTTCAGTAATCTGAACAATTTGTTTCAGGACATCGGAGCGACGCCGTTCGAAATTAGAAGAGAACTTCTGACAACCAAAAGGCAACGGCCATACATAGTATTTTGAAAAAAATGAACTCGCCATCATGTGAAGAAGCTGATCCAAAAAGAGCAGATGACCAATGACCTGAAGACAAACTAAATCGAACTGTGACGGTCAATTTCAATTTCATCTAATATCAATAAATAGTTGAGCCATGTTCTGTTGGGTTTTTTTTCATGCAGAAAGGTAATTCAATACAGAGGGTATTTTTCGGGACAAAAACCAGGCTTTCAGTAGAAAATCTCCCGGGATTTCTTGCAGAAAGCCCGGGGCTTACCCTAGGAATGCCCGGGGCTTACCCTAGGAATGCCCGGGGCTTACCCTGGGAATGCCCGGTAAACTACCAGTAGAGGTTTAGTCGGTAAAAGAAGACCCTGGCGAGACAATAGAGTGACGTCACTAGAGGTTTATAAGGATAGATTCACTATGCACCCGTGGACTTATCATTCAGTACAGCCTTGGAGCAATGGCAATACGAGGTCCTATGCATAGGGCTTATGGAGGCGGCTTATGGCTCGATATACATTGAGGCGTGAACACCCGGCTCACTGTGCGCATACATGTATGTCTCACTATAGTGGTTTGTTTGTTCGCTTGTTCGTTGTTTAACGCCACAATCGGCAATATTCCAGCTATGTGGCGGCACACTAGGGTTGTAACTATAGTCCGTTTGCTGCTAATTCGCTAAGATGAAACGCAAACTAGATATTAATCCGAAAGCAACAATTCGTCTTAAATAAAAAAGTTTTGAGACTTTCCCTGTGTTCCGCGATGCCCTTCAGCTGTTATGTTTATTGCGCAAACCCCCTTGTAACAACAGACATTAAAACACCAACAATTACATGAAAGTTTGCTAAACAACTTTTCTACCCTTTACGACAATGTCTGAAATTATGGTGACGAGTTGGTATGAACAAATAAAAAACTTTCATAACTTTTTAAAGACGAATTGTTGCTCTGTGGTTTATATTTATTTAGCTCTTCGTCTGTACGGTTTTGCAGCAACTTTTCTTACCCTTACCCCACCCCCCTACCCTCCTCCCCCGTCCCCAACTCTCACACACACATCACGACACGAATCGTCCCGCCCACACACACTTACCGTGTACCTGTAACGCAATAGAACTCCGCCCTACATATTCGCAGCATAACACGCAAGGTTACATCTCCAAGAGTCTACCGATTATTTAAACAGAAAATTCAGTTGTCACTACCCTTAGCATCCCGATTATCAAAATAAATCACTGTTATAAAAAAATATCGAATATCATGATAACTGTCTATTAGTATGTCCTTTTTTTCATTACTTGCGTAAATTATATATTCACAAGAAGTATTTCACAAGACCTTGTGTGATATTACTCGATATGTTATTAAATCCTGAAAGCTTATCAAGACACAGAAAACTGCACAATTTGTAAAAGAACTCCTTAAAATGTTTAATCATAGAGCGGTCGGGTACCCTTGTCACGCCGAAGACCCGGGTTCGAATCCCGACATTGGTACAATATTTGTCACTCACTCACTCACTCACTCACTCACTCACTCTATGAGTGTTTTGCAGCTACACCTCAACCTGACGCACGTATGTCGAATGCCTCGTGTCATTGAAGCAAAAAAAATGTTGTTGTTGTAATGTTGATAATATACACTGTTTGACACAACCTACCTTCTATCTCAACAACGTCCGTCCTGTCGGTACAACAAGTCAGCAATACACTCAGATCCTCTCGACCTGTATATACTTGTACTTATATCCAAACTTTCGAATTCCATTGATGCATAGCAATGGTTGCGAAATATCCAAGGACAAATTGAACTTGTGCAAGACTGTCGATATTGAATCATCCACAGACTCAGTGTGTTTTGCCCGGTTCAACTAGGTCAGGGGTAGGCGCAGGTTTATTCCCTTGTAACTCGATCCTTGTTATTGGCTAAATCCAACCTTGACAACATGCATCCACTTCCTGTTTACCTTCGATACTGCCTTTTGAACGCATGCTAACAGTCCCTTCACTTCGACAATCTTCGTGACGAAAGAATCCGATGAATTCCGAACGACGAAATGTTGACGGACGAATTATAAATACCCCCGAGGCAAAAATGTGTAGCATACACAGGTCGTGAAAGGTTACACCTGAGATTCACAAACTGGTTAATTGGCTTTCTATAAGTTGGTGAGTAAGTAAGTAAGAAGACAACTTCTCGATTATCGCATACAGCGACTTTTCGATGTAAATTCTTACACCGTTATCGAGCTAGAGTGAGCGATTCACAAGCATTAGGGTAGGTAGGGCCACAGGGCGTATTGAAAATCAGAATAATTTGACAATATATTTCATAAATGTTTGCATACTCGGTAAATAGGAAAAGAGCGCAGTTAAAGTCTCAGATCCAATGACCGTCATTATAATTTCCTGTAACACCATCTGTGCGATGTTCACAAGGTACACGGACATCCTATTAGTGGAATGTGACTTCGGTTCGCCTCACCCGTTGTTCTCGCAACTGTAGGGGCGGTCGGGTAGCCTAGTGGTTAAAGCGTTCGCTCGTCACGCCGAAGACCCGGGTTCGATTCCCGACATGGGTACAATGTGTGAAGCCTATTTCTGGTGTCCCCCGCCGTGATATTGCTGGAATATTGCTAAAAGCGGCGTAAAACCATACTCACTCACTCACTCACTCACTCACGTTCTCCTTAAAGAGGCGGCGGTCGGGTAGCCTAGTGGTTAAAGCGTTCGCTCGTCACGCCGAAGATCCGGGTTCGAATCCCGACGTGCGTACAATGTGTGAAGCCTATTTTTGGTGTCCCCCGCCGTGATATTGCTGGAATATTGCTAAAAGTGGCGTAAGGCCAAATTCACTCACTCACTCTCCTTAAAGAGGTGAGGTGAAGTGAGAATGACTACTATTTTACTTATTTTGTGATGTGTACGCACATGTCCTTATGTGTGTATGGACTAGTGTCGGTTTATGGTGCTAGTCCACTGAGATACAGGCAGGGTAACAACAAGTACCATCTTTAACGGCATTTGGTATCACGCGGCAGTTTTCTAAGGGCATGTAAAATCTGGGTCATTGTGGATAACATACTCGTCAGCTGACATCAGCGGAAATGACATAGTTTGCGTGAGTGCGTGCGTGCGTGCGTGGCACCGTCGCCCTTATCTTGGTCATCCGTGGGTTAACCGAAGTGGTAACGTTTATGACATGCGCATCTGGTACATCGTAAGTGAAATATTCACCAACTCTCACTTTCATCATGCGTCACTCGCATAGGTATTTGCCTTTATATACACTGAAGCGCAAAACTGTTAAATATATGACAAAACCTTTGTTTGTGTAGGCCGCCCAAACAATACAAAACTAAAACAACACAGTTGGTTGGTTTTATTTTAGAACACACATACGGGATACTAGTAACCTACCGTTTTCTGATACCACTTATTCAGCACGATTGTTTATATCAACACGAGAACTAGAAATTATGTCATAGAGTGGGATCTTCTTAACAGATGTACATCATTCAGACAGGGTAGTCCAAGTCCTTGGTCAATCGAACATATATAGATACATAATAAACACGACTTACAATATACAATATATATATATATACGTCGTACCCAATGACGGTAAAAGACGGCCCTCGGCATCGAGGGGATATAACAAGGACGGGGACCCCTCCCACAAAGCGATCGTAGCGCTAAGTGATCGTAATTCCCATACTTATAATTCCCATAGACTTACAACAGTCGAAGCGCTTATTCAGCGAGCCGTCATATAGCTGGAACATTGCTGAGTGCGGCGTAAAACAACAAACAAACATACAAAGCTAATGTAGCTTTGATGAAGGAAACAACTAACAGTCAGTACACAGTGTCTGAGAGTGTCATCCATGATAAAATGCGGCATGGTAACTCTGTGGGCCCTATACAATTATAAAACCCGGCATTAGTCCGGACTACTCTCTCTCTCTCTCTCTCTCTCTCTCTCTCTCTCTCTCTCTCTCTCTCTCTCTCTCTCTCTGAAAAAAACTTGAAAGCGACGTTAAGCCTTATTTAAACCTTTACCACTGTACTGTACTGTTTCTTCTCTCCCTGTCTGAGACACATACTGGCTGGATACTTTCTATTTTGGTCTTTCCCTCAGCCATATCGATGAGTGAGTGAGTTAGTTTATCGCCGCTTTCAACATTATTTAAGTTACATGACAGCAACATATGTGAGGTACGCCCTCCGTGACGCAGGCCAAAGAATTTAAATATAAGTCGTCAACGCTAGAGAACAAGCAATCTCAGAAAAAGATTCCATTGGGCGCAAAAGGCAGCGGTGAAAATTACATGAATGGATCACAGAAAATCAGTGATGGCACCAGGCGCCCGCGAAAAGGGATACCCTTGGTAAACACACGAGGCTGGGTATGGTGCCGACACACCGAGGGTCATAATCAGACCACCGTAACGTCATGGCTAGAAAGGGAAGGAACTCTGCAGCGAGATTCGGCATCTTAGGCAACTGCACAACCCGTACTCGACGGAAGAGGACTAAACTTTAAAGAACATGTGTCAGTCAGCTGCTGGAGACCCACGAAGATCCGGATTAGAATTGGTCTTCAAAAACCTATGCTTGTCGTAAGAGCCGACTAACGGGATCGGGTGGTCAGGCTCGCTGACATGGTTGATGCATGTCATCGTATCCCAATTGCGTGGATCGATGCTCATGATAGCAATCACTTGATTCTTTTTAACTCTGACGTTTATCCCACATCAGGTGTGCGACAGAGCTGCGTCCTGAGTCCACTACATTTCATTTACTTAATAAAGAAACTGCAGTAATGGAATATGTGTAACTCACATAAATTAAGGATCTACTTTTATTCTTATTTGCTGATGATATAATTATATAGAGTGACTGTTCTATAGAAGCAACGCAACGCTCTACAGCGGTTTTGTGACACACGCGCGCTAGAGCTAAGCCTAGACAAGTCTTATATAGCTGTCTTTAGAAAATGGTGAGCCAAAGGAAAGGTGATCGGTTTTTTAATGAACATATGAGAGATGTTTCCTATTATAAATATTTAGGTTTAATGTTTCTTCCGCGTTAAATTGGTCCATGGCCTGCAAAACAAATGCTACGGAAGCTCTCTTCCCAATCTATAAATCATTAATGAATTGACCTTCACTTTGTGTGAGTTCATTGGAGTATGAACCGTCCAATCGAAAAACCGTATATCGTGTAAACGTCAAATTAAAAAAATGATTTAAAGATAACAAGTGTTACATTTTAAATAGCCAGTTAAACTTTTTCTATATGGTGCAGATTTTTAAGAAATTGAAATTAAAGGTTCATGTATCATTTAAATAATTTCTTGGTGCAGGAAAGTTTGCTTCGGATAAGGTTATACCAGACTGGACGCTATACTATATTTATTCAAACCTAGATGAAAGTAATTAAATATGGGATTGAACTTTTACGTGTGCTACCCTTACCAGGTACCGGTTGCTGGTATCTTCAGATAGTAATGGCAAATATACATATGGCATCTGACGTCCATACATTATTACTTCGTGTTGTTTTTCCAATGTTTGGATTGCCCAAGATGTTGTTATCCATTGTTCCACCTATAAACAAAGACCCGGTGATATTTTCTTTCAATATTGATCACATTATGTTTCCATTATATCCATTATATCCATTATTATATCCATATTCAACTCAGTCAACTCAACTCGAAAGGGTGCACGGGAATCACGCACGTTGTGACGCCCAACGCTGACACCGTATTCGTGTGTGCGTGATTCCCGTGCACCCTTTCGAGTTGAGTTGATTGGTTCAACTGTGTCATATGGCCCCGTGACGCAGGGGTAGCATTATGCAGATGGCTGTTTCAATGAATGCTTGTTCCACCCGTGACGAACAGGTCTGGTTGTTGATGAAATATAGTGATAGCTAAATAGACAGATTTTTAATTCATGCACCGATTGTCTTTAAATGTAATATCCAGTTATGTATGACTGTTTAATAATCTCATACCAACTTTGACTGGAGTGGGTCCGATAGTTTTTCAGATATCATTTTGGTTATCAATCACACCAGTGCTTCCGGCTTTTCCAAACCTGAACATGGCATGTCCTTGGCCCAGGTGTCTGTCGGTCAAAAGCCCCTTGTTAAATTCAAGGAGAAAATAATTTTCTTGCTTGTAAACAAATGATAAAATGTGATTTTTAGAATAATTTCATTCACACATCATTAGTCAGATAAATAAAGGCCATGTTGCAGGTGAATGAGTGAATATGGCTTTTCACTATCTCGTCCTATTTAAGTGAAATGTGACAGGAAGCACATTGTAACGCGTGTGTTACTATCAGCACAGCGCTCTTCCAGACCTCCACCACCAGAGTTGTTTACAGTTTCAGCATACATCTTCTCCATGAAAAAAGGGAATCAACAGTGTGGATTATGTAGACTATGTAAATATTCATTGTGTTGACTCTCTGAACTCAAAGTCTGAACTACGTATTTCAATAATAATGCAGTAATTTCTTCTTCTACTTCTCCCATTATAATATCTGGGCCCCCATAGTGTTGCCTTGGCCCTCCCATTATGATGCATGGGCCGCTATTATGATGCATGGGCCCCCATGTGATGCCTGGGCCACCATTATTTTATCTGGGCCCCTATTATGATGCATGGGCCGCTATCATTTTATCTGGGCCCCAATTATGATGCATGGGCCGCTATTATGATGCATGGACCGCTATTATGATGCATGGGCCCCCATTGTGATGCTTGAGTCCTCCCATTATGATACGTGGTCCCGAATTATGATGCCTGTTATCCCATTGTGAGTGAGTGAGTTAAAATTTTAAGTCACATCGGCAATATTTCAGCCATATGGTGACTATCAAGGGTTAAACATAATAAA